CTCCCCCGGCCAAGCCACCGCCGGCCCATTTCCCCCCACCCCAGACGTCCCTGCCTCTATCTGCTCCCGCCCAGCCGGAGGCAGCGCCGACCGCCGCCAAGGAGACCGGTGGCACCGAGCAGCCGGACCCCTCCACCATGACTCCCCAGGTAAGGCATCACTGCCGCCGCGCTCGCCCCTGCGGCCCCGGCTGGCAGCAAGGAGTCGCCAGGGCAGCGGTGCGATTAACCGCTGGTGGGTACACGGTGCTGCAAAGGTCTCCGAGTAAGGGCAGTTAATAGCGCGCCGTATGTGCATAATACTTGAAGGGCTTGGACGCAACCCTTGGAAGTCTGGGAATGGCAGGTGCTCCGTAAATGCTTCTTTATCCAGTGGTGGTTGTTGGGATGTAACAAACCGTAATTTTTCAAGAGCAAATGAGTCGTTTAGGGAAGAGTCTGACTCCTGGCTGAATTGAGTTTTCTTGGTGGCTTATTGGTCCCTGGAGAATTGTTTTCCAAAGCACAGCTTGTAGGTAACTGCACCAAACTTCTGTTGACTTCATTTGGCCCTGTTTGCGTATGGGACATTGCAGGATCAGTGTCTCTTGCCTTCAGTGATTTCTTCATTTAGTTTTCTCATGGGGTTGTCTTTCAGTTGTCTCTCTGATCGGTGCAGAATTGTGACTATTTTAATCTTGCCACACTTAGTTAAAGCTGCAGAAGTTTTTCTAGCATAGTACGTGGTTGCCCTTTACTTACACTTACTTATACGTTTTGTGCTACACATGCCTGATCTTCCAGTATAAAATTGTATGGGACACTGGAGGGAGATGCTCTGAAATGCTTTCGAGGTGAAGAATATTCTCGTTGCTAATGCTGTGGGCTTTTTACGTGTACACTAGAGCCAGAATGCCTGCAAAACGTTCCCATACTTCCTAAATGCAAGCAGTTCCAGTGAGCATGATGTGACCGTTCATATGCATTAAGTTAGAGGCAATCCCGTTGCTTAAGGTTAAGCATGCACAAAGAGAGACCCTCAGCTATGTGTACAGGTCGCTCAGATTCGTTGAGTCTTACATGGTTTTAGGATCAGTTTGTAGACATCCAGCTGCAAGAACAAAGCTGAAGTGCATGCTTTAAATTTACTTTAGTTAAAGACATCTATTTTTGGCAAATTGATCTTGGGATTCTGATCTGAAACTAAGTTTGCAAAAATCCCGTTGTGTCCTGTTGAAGTCACTGACGCTTTAAACTTGTTAATTATTGGGACACCTTTTGAATTGTATCCATTAAAGCTTCATGCCAATACCTGAATAGATTTGGGAATATATTATTTTTAAGTTCACACCATGTAACTGATCACTGCCTAGCAAAGTGGTGCTTTCAGTTCATAAACTTAATCTTACAAAGGTTTTGGACAGTACTAGTTGATCTTTTACAGTGATAGGGGTGGGACTTGTTACATTTCTTAATGCCAAAACCTTAAAAAATCAGCTGTAGAAGGTGATGTTCTAAGTACTAAGGCTGCTGGCTGACTTCTTTAATTACTGAACTCAAGATTGAATAGTGAACTGTAAGTCCTCCCTCCTTATATAGCCTGAAGTTTCATTCATGTCATTGAATTGTTCCTCAGCCACTCTCTCTCTTTCTATAAGACTCACAAGTAATGCAGTATTGTGGTACACACATAAAGAAGCAAACTATTGCTGAAGTTTCCATGGTCTGGTTTATGAGTGTTTATACAAACCGCTTCTGTCTTGAGTAGTTTGTTTACTCTTATGCACAATTCAGCATTAATTCAAAAGGAATCTGGTACAATGCTGGTCATAAATTTGTTATAATTGATATCATTTTGGCTATTTTAGGCTGTAAAGTGGGACAGGATTTGGAGCAACAAGTTCTTACACAATAGGAACAGGAAAAGCAAAGCATAGTGATGCTTTCTTGCTAATGATCTTAAAAAGCCAAGTAGAGAAATACTGTAATTTGTAATTTGTAAGATCCTATTACGCCTTTGTTTAAACTGGTAATTGGAAACAATTCTTTCTCTTCTCAGCCCACAGTAACAGTGGTTGCAGCCAAATAGATCAGTGTTTTTTTCTTAACAGAAAATATTATGCAATTTGTCTTGAGTTCGTGTTTTATTATTTCCCTTTCCTGTCTAAAAATAAGATACTGCTCTTTGCGTTGGTAATATTACAGATATAGTGTAGTAGCTTCATACATGGCTGTACAGTTGGATTAAACTGCCAGATTCTTGTGGTTTTATACAATCAGATGCATCTTTTGTCAAGTCCTGTTAAAGTACCTGTAGTATTTCAATTATCCTCCATCTGATATTTGGGTACCGTATGCTCCTGTGTATTGACAGTAGTAAACAAGTATGCATGAGTGGATCTGTACACATAAATATGCACTTATCTACATCTGTTAAAGCTACCTTAGCTTTATCATTTCACCTTTTAGCAACTTCTTTACTCTTTAAAATCCGCCTTTGTTTTATATAGGATCCTAAAGAATTCTTTTGCTATCTTTAGCAAAAAAGAACCAAGTTGTCTCTTAAAATAGGGATTATGTTATGGTGTAGGGTTACCTAAATTCATTTTGGAGTAGTCTTGTGGCATCAGCTGGGCACTAACATTTTTGATGGTATGTCCTGTGGCCAGGAGCTTATGGTGCTGGTTTCAGTGTTCCCTATACAATGCAACAGGCGTAGTCTTTTGGTCAGCCAAAGGTAGAAAAAAGGCGTATGTTGATGCTGGTGTGTTCCTTGGGCTTAAGGATTGTAACTGAACTTGAAGAATGACAGTCATCATCAGGAGACGAACACTCAAATAACTGAACTTTTTGCCATCAGGAATTTTCTACAATAACGCTTCTATTGTGCTTTGACTATGCTCAGAAATCTACCTTTCCACTTTCTCATGCTTTTCAGATAGAACCTGCAAATACCTGTGTCACTGACTTCTGCTGCAAAAAGAAAAAAAATGGGTGACAGGATATTACCATAACTCTTTGTGTGAACTCCTGGCCATATTATGAGTTTTAGCCCTTTGTCCAATTGGTAGAATGAGGAGTTAAAAACATAGATCCGTGGAGACGGCAATTTGTGGCAGTAGAACAGGGACTCGCAAAGCATAGCATCCAGCACTGTCATGGTAAATCACCTTATAATGCCTTCTGAGAGGAATAGTGAAATAAGCTTTTGTATAGCTGGGGATGTATGCTCCTCCCTGGTGTTGGAAGTTACACTTACTACAGCATGTTGTTGAAGGTTTTTGAGACAGTCCATGCTGGAGCATGAGTGCGCATCTTCCACCCAAAGCTACTACATCTCTTCTGAGTCAGATTCTTGTTTAAGATTCTTGGCAGAGTTATTACATGATCAACATAAAGTCCAAGAAGCGTAGTTTCTCTTTTCATTGACCTCATCTCCAAGTTACAGTTTTACAGAAGGTTGAGTTTTTGTTTTTTTTTTAAATACAGCTCCATGTTTAATTGTGTCTGATAGATTGCTACTGATTTGAGTATGTGTCGCAAAATGGGTGGTTTAGGGTCATTCAACGAATGACCATCACAGGTACTAGCAAGAGTATTTTTAATATGATATATAAAGGCACAACTTAACAGAATTCAATGGCAAGGTTCACTCTATTGTTTATTACATGGATGAAGCATACAAAGGAAAGATGAGGTAAAATCAAGCTAAGGATGACTGATAGAGACTGAAGGCAGAGAGTGTAAGGGAGACCTTCCATTCTGTCATGAGGTTCGGAATAGACCCCCTTGCTTCCAGAACTCCTGATGGAGCCTACGTGTGGCTTTGTCTAGTCTTAGTCTCAGGCTTGGTCAATGGTTTGTGTCTAATGGAATGTATAAAGGAAACTTGAAGTAGAACCAAGCTAGAATGATTTCTGTAGAGATCAAAGTTGAAAAGGGTAAGGGAGACCCTCCCATCAAGTCATGAGGTTCAGAATAGACCCCCTTCCTTTATAAACTGATGGAGCTTAGATGTAGCTGGATCTAGTCTTAGTCTCAGACTAGGTCAGCAGTATACATCTAAAGGGTTACAAGTGTCATTTACCAGCAGTTTGCAATTTTAAGGTGGTTCTTATAAAGTGAGTCAATGGAATTTACTACAATTCGTATAACAATCTATACACACATGTATGCACATGCATATGTAAAGACATATAAAGGTATACCTGTTAAAAATCCCCCTCGAGTCAGTGAAATGTTCATGTCTAATGTATCAGCATTTCTCAGTGAGTGAATGTCAAGTCTCAAGGAGTGGGGGCCTTTTGACCTCTGATTATTGCAGACTCAAGAGTCTGCAACCTCTGAGGGACATCGCAGTCAGCAGGATTGCTCACAGGGCCTCACTTAGGACCACTATTTGTAGGGTCACAAGATGATTGGCTTTAGTCATTAGTGAATTTCCATCCTGGCCGCAATCCGAGTCGGCAGTTACTAGAAGCAAAAATCCAGTAGCAGTGATACCATTCTGCTCAGGCTGCGATCACGGAAGGAGTGTTGTAAAGCTGTCAGAGGACGACTCATTATCCCTGATCTTGCTTCCCACCTTAGCCAGGGAATAGGAGTCCCTGGTATGATCACTGCCTCCCTTCTTAGCCATGTGGGAGTTTCTGATATAGTCAAGAGACACTTCACCACTCAACTCATTACACAGAGGCCAAGGCCTGATGGGAATTCCTGAGACTGTGGAGCAGCCCAGAGGATGGGGCGGGAGGGAGTGGGATGATGCACCACCAAAGTGAGATAGGCTTTTGGAGGAAACTTGCACGTCTTTTAAACCTGTTTTAAGGTAGGCAGAATGGTTCAGTTTTGAGAAATCTCATCAGACAGCACCTACCACTGTGGTGTTGTCACACTTCTGTTTTAAAATACCTGCATATTTTGGATTCTTTTCTGTTTCTGATGTGGCTTTTCTTGGATGGAAGGGAAGAACCGAGGATACGAAAGATCTAGAGCAGTCACAGGTTCTCAGAGGTGGTGGAGTTGACATGAGAGCACAAAAATGGTTGTACTAGGTCAGACCAAAAGTACAGTATTTTGTCATTCTGTCTTTGACAGTGACTAAAAGCAGATGCTAAGAGAACAACATAAAAATCAAGTGTATAGTGATACTTTCCTAAAATATAGGAGCTGCCTTAGCTGCAACTGGTGTCTTTGTTTTTAAAATCTGTAGGTTTTTCTTCTATGAGCTTATGGAGGTGTGTCTTGGATCCACAAAATTTTAGCCCCTGCAGTAGTCTCTGGCAAGAACTCTGGTAGCACAAGGCCATGTCAGGTGAAGAGCTGCTTTCCATGTGTTTTAAATCTGTCCTGCTAGTCCAATTTGATGGCTGATATTTCTTGTATTGGAAGAGATACTGAACTGCTGGTTCCTATTCAGTTCTCTAAGGTACACCACAAGTTAAGTGTTGAAATACTTACCTTTAGTCTACTTTTATTTATGTTGAGATACTTCAGTCTTTTGTTCTTTCTGTTGTTGGCTGCTTACATTGCTTTGAAGCTACTGACGTCTGCCCAGAGTACTCTAATTCTAGCCTGAAAGACTTAAAACTAAAAGCTCAATCACTTCTTAAATGGATAATTTTTTGGGTGCAACCGTATCTGTTTACCTCTTCAGCTGCTGAATGAATCAGAATTAATGGGAATTCAGATAATAAATAATGCTTACTATATGCTGGTTCTGGTTGTTCTTTCTCCTTTCCACGGCCTTTATTCAAATGTCTCCACCACAATTTCTCAGCTGTAATTGTCACGCTACTTGATGTCTGTGTTTTCTTTTGGTTCTCTTCATCTTTTCTTGTACATTTCCTCCTTTTTCTCTTTACTGCTTCCTTACTCATACTTGTCCTACATTTTCCCTTCATTTTATCTGTTAGTTTTATAATAAGTACCTATTATTATTAATATTTACTAATTATTATTATAGGAGTTATATATTGGTAATATATAACTGCTATTGTTATTAGGAGTAAAAAGCACTAAAAATAGTAAGTATGGTACTTACTGCATGTCAGTAATTTGGCTTATTATTGGCCACCTTTCTGCTTTTCGTTATTGTTCTCTTTAGCTGTAAGCACTTTGAGGTAGGAAATAAATTGTGCTGTGGATACTATGCCTTACATAGTGGCTTCTGAATTCTGAGTCAGTCTTCTGCAATCCATTGCAATACTGTTGATGATGAAGTTTCCTTCAAAGCATATTCTAAAACTTTTCTAGAGTATAATTCTATTGACTAACATGAATTAATTTTCATGTTTTTTCCCATGAAAGCCATCTTAGAAATTTTCTGTCTATTGTAGGAACAGCAGCAATACTGGTACCAGCAGCACTTGCTTAGCCTGCAGCAAAGGGCAAAGGCCCATGCTCAGGGACAGCAGCAAATGAAAGGTCCAGTAGGGAAGGATGCATCTGAGCAGAGAGCAAAGTCTGAAGAAGGGAAAATGAGTGCTTCAACTCAGCAGTCTGAACCTCCACTTAATGAATCCCTGCCTCCATCTTCCAAAGAAGATGAGTCTTCTCTTACATCCACTGAAACTCAGGTAGACTTTGTAAAGTAGTGCCACTCCATTTGTTGTGCTAGATGGGATAAAGAAACAGGAAAATAATACCATCAAATTCTCATGTATACTGTGTAACAATAACTAAATATGGCACAGCAATCTTAAAAGAACATTTGTTAAGGCTCCATCGATTGAAAAATAAGAATACACGCCTTGTATGTAGACATACATAGTCACCCACACATGCAGCAAGCGAGTCCAAGCTTGACTCACTCACACCTTCCCCAGTGTTGTCATCTTTGTCTGTGAGAAACACTTTGTGATACCTAAGTGCAAAATCAAGTACTCAGTAGTTGACGAATGCTATCTTTAAGACACTGTTTCTTAATTCTTTTCTGGCAGTTTGTCAGTTCTGGCTCTCCTCCTCTCTATGTGTTATAGTTTATCTGAAAGCTAAGAACTATGCACAGAGTATTTTTGTCAGCATGCCTAGTAACAATTACTACAGAATGGATGTAGGTCATGATTGATGTTTTGAACAGATTACTGTAAGGTAGTAGATTACCCTGCAGCATGTGCTCCTCTTTAACTTACAGTGTGTGGGTTCCTACCGAGTGGCAAAAATAATGCACTCAGAGTTATTTTACTTCATCATGAAAAAGCACTGTTGTCTCATTGTATTTGTTGTGAGCAACAGATAACAGATCTGCGTTAATCTCTTCCCTGTAGGTAGCTTCTGTATGAATGAATACCGTAATTGCCATCAACCTAACCTTCAGATTAGAGTATTCACATTAAGAATAAATGAAATAAAAATCAGCCTTCCAGAAGATGTGGGTGGCTGAAAAGCTGAAATCCAGAGTGATAAAATAATGAACATTGAGAAAGTTCTCGTAAACTGGGTAGTGACCAAGTGTGCTTTTCTTCTGACAGAAGGAGCTTTCCTTTATAGCGTTTGTCTTTTTCCGTAGCTCAATATTGAACCTCCTGATGACCCTGAGGAAGATTTGAGATTGCAGCAATTGCAAGCGGCAGCAGCTCAATGGCAGCAGCAACCCCATCAGCGAGTTGGATTTCAGTATCAAAGAATAATGCAGAAGCATGCCCAGCTGCAGCAGATGGTACAGCAGTATCAACAGATCATGCAACAGCCTCCACACTTACAGGTGAAACACTAAGGAGATGGTGTTTAGTATACTTCCTGGGTGACCTAGCACTCATGGTCTGCTGGGAAACAATTTGTCATGGTTGGGTCATTTGTCTAGCTACTTTTGCTGCTTGGGTAGAAGTCTATATCCCCTTTTTCTACTGTTAGTTGACTTCAGAACAAAAAAGCAATTAGCACATGGTGGTGAAGCTTCAGTAGGATGAGAAATACAAGACTTTACATTTGTCATAAGGTTTTTCAGACATACCTGGGTGATACAGGAGCAAAGCTGAACACAGTATTGAATTTACTTAGCTTTGAATGTTTTGCTGCTGGAGAAACGGTTCAGAAGAAAAGACAGGAAAACAGATGATTTCATTAAGTGCTTCTCTTTTACAACACAGTACAGTACAAAAATAAATATTTATGATGAAGTAAACTTAGATGCCAAAAATACGCAGTTAAAGTAATTAAGAATATCGCTATCTCGCATTATTTATATAATTATGTCAGTGTTGCAAACTTCAAGCTTTTAACTAGAAGCTGGTTACTGTATTAGAGAATTGTGTCAGCTTTTCCTGGGTTAGTGGGGTTTGTACATTAAGAATTTCTTTGTAGCTTAGGCTGTCTGCTTTTTTCAAAAAAAACAAAAACTCTTAAGTGTGAACTTACAAATCTCAGACAACATCAAGCTATAGATACCTGTATCTAAACATGACGAAAGATAGTACCTCACTGAAAAAAGCTTCATTGTGCAAATAAAAACATTTGGCAAAGGCTTAGAGAAAAATAATTGCTGTCAGCGGAAGCAGTTCTGAGGGGATTAACAGCAGAAGCTGAAACCTTGAGAAACAGCCACATACCATATATATTGAAAGTGTGAAGATTGGTTTGGGCTTTAGCCGTTGTTAGCATCCAGTAATAATAGAGCTTATTAAATGGAGCCCTTTAATTATAACTTTCTTCAGCTGTCCTGTTTAAAAAAAAAAAAAAAAAAAAAGTGTCTTCTATGTATAAATGTCCTCTAGTCATAAAATGTGTAAAGTCACAGTGACATTAGACATTGCAGCTGGTCTGTGCTTTTGTTTCAGTCTAGTTCTTTTTCAGGCTTCAGCCCAAATCAGAAATTGTGGTATTGCAAGTGATACTGAAATATGTGGTTCTGAAAATAACTAAGATGGTATTTGGAAGCTATTCTTTTCTTTCTATTGCAGACAATGTCAGTGGACATGCAGCTGCGACATTATGAGGCACAGCAAAAACAGTTCCAGCAGCTTCATAAAGATTGGGAGCGATCAATGAACCAACAGTGGCAGCATCAGCTTCAAACCTACCCTCACAAAGACCAGCTTCAAGAGTATGAGAAACAGTGGAAGGCATGGGATGAACAGATGAAGGTCACTCAGTCCCATCTGCAGGAGAAAGTGAGCTCACTCCAAAATCTGAAGAACCAGTATCCTGCAAATGTTTCGCTGCCACCTCCATTTGTTCCGTATTCTCAAACCAGTCAAGGTGGCATTCCTATTATGCCTCCAACTTTACCTTCAACTACGCCTCCACTGGTCCCCCCACCTCTCTCTTCTGTTTCTCAGTTGTCTAATTCCTCTGTCCCTTCTGGATCCAGTTCTCAAAGCAGTCAATCCACTGAGACACCAAGGCCAGCTCTGCTTCCCACCCCGGGTACCTATGCATCAAAAATGGCTAGTTCAACTGTCTATTCACCTTATCATTCTCAAGTAAGTTCATCCTTTGGCTCTTCAGACCACGGAAAGTCTCAAGCTCATCTTAGTAAACAAACTGTTTCTATTTCATCTGAGCAAGGATGTGGGGAACCAAAAGCCACTTCTTCAGTGTCTTCAACGCACGCACCTACCATGCAGGATAAACCTGTGAGGTCAGGTGGATTGCTTCCAGATCCTCCCAGATCAGCACGTTTTGAAGGCCCCAGAGGCCCTAGGTAAGGGTGGTTTTGTTGACTTACACATGTTCCAGTCTACAAGAAGTTCAGTGATATGTTAAAAAATGAAGCATATATCTTATTCTCAAATCTTCCTGAGGTTTTATGAACTGTGGTTGGTTGTTGGAGGTTTTGTTTTTAATGTGTACACACCATGCTCTGTATTTATCTTATTAAAGCAAGGACAGATGACTTTCACCTGAGCATTATCTAGAGTAGAATACTTTTTGCTAGTAATAGAAAGTGTGATGACTCACACTTGAAAGGGTGATCCTGTGTGAAAAGTGATCTAAATTCCCAGCATTTTGTCTATGATATTTGAAACACACTTTAGGAAAATCTAAAACAAAAATGTTAAAGGATTGTTTTTATATGGTAGCACTTTACTGTAGGCATTGCAAAAGGGATTCAGGAAAGTATTCATATTCAGTTGAATATACTAACATAGCTTATTACTGGCAATTAAGATGCTACTTATATTTTAGAAACAATAAAAAATACTCTTTGTAAAATAACATTTATTGCAGAAAGAAATGAAAATTCAGAGTTGTTCATCAGTACATTAACTTCTAATGTAAGAGAGTTCTGCAGCTAGATGATTGTCCTATTTAGTGCACTTTTCCATATGCTGTTTGATAAGAGAGGTAGTGCTTGTCTTTAGTGCAAATCAGTGGGTTTCTACACACATAGCATTACTTCTCATTCAAAAAATTGTGAACGAGAGAGGGAAAGAGATGAAGATTTGAGCCTTAAGATCTAGCATTCGGATTCTTTGCCAATTTTAATTTTGCATTACATCGTGATAGTCTTGGTTTTCTAAATTAAATCTTCATTTTTTTTCAGGTGGATGGCCTGTTGCGTTAGTGTAAAGCTACTCTAAAAGCCAGTCTTCTGTGGGGTTTTTATGGTTTTATACCTGTTATATGGCTTAATTCAAGATCTTGGGTTTGGAATGTTTTTCTTTCATACTTGACATCATAGGTTGCAAAAACATCTGTTCCATCTAGTCATTAGTTCAAGATGAGTTGATGTGATGCCTACTGAACCAAAGAACAGTGTTGTTCTGTTCAATTGTTTCTATCCTTGCATACTCTACTAGACTTTACAATCATATCTTCATGTTTATTTCCCTTCTCTTTGCTTCCAAAGTGATCATTCGTGAATAATAATTCATGAGCTGCTAGTAATGTAAATGAATTTTTTTATAACTTTGAATAATTTTCTACCTTCTGATTTTTTTTTTTTTTTTTTTAAAGTGTTGTTTCTGGTCCTGGGCATTTGTTGGGTGTAAAATTCTGATCAGACTGGTTTCCAGATTTGATAGTGCATGTCTTTTGTGTGCATTAGTGGTGTGCAACGATAGGCTATGGATAATCAAAAAATTATAGAGTGCATATACAGGAGCTCTGGTTTTGAATGTACTCGTTTGATTAAAACTATAGCCTTTGTGCATTCCTGTGTTGTGATTGCATCACCATTCTAGGGTTTTATCAAAGATTTCCCAAAAACCTGTTTACTGTTTCTTCTCACTATAGTTTGTAGAACAGAGAATCCTAATAAATTTTTAACTGAACTTGGGATAAAGTAAAAACGTGTGTTACATGCTGCCATCCCAGCCAAAAAGTACCAGGTAACGACTAGACCTATAAAAAGACACACACATCCTTTACCTCTTTCTTTTCAGCAATTAACTTTTCTCAAGAAATTCTGAAGAACTGCCTTAAACTAATTTTCGGAGTTTTGGGGATGAAGTGTGTCTTACACACAACCTTCTAGCTATACCTTCCCTGTAAAGGCTGATCCTTCCAATCTTAAGTATTCTTGCCACTGCACTTGGTAATTTCTTTTTTCTTTTCCTGTTCATCTTGCCATGCTCCCACCCCACAAAAAGGGAGTTTACTGTGATAAGTTATCAGGATTATTAAAATTATTTGAGCTTGTATAAATGATCTTGTTTTGTAAATTGCTCATTGGAACAGTAAATTATGCAACAAGTCAACCACTGTTGCTAACTAGGTGGTAATGAATATCCATAGAATGATAGAATAGTTTGAGATGGAAGGGGACCTTCAGAGGTCATCTAGTCCAACCCCTCCTTGCAATGAGCAGGGACATCTTCATCTGGATGAGGTTGCTCAGAGCAAGTCAACCTGACTTGACTGTCTCCAGGGATGGCGCATCTACCGCCTCTCTGGGCAATCCAGTATTTTATCACCCTGATTGTAAAAAATGTCTTCCTTTTATCTAGTGTGAATCTCCCCTCTTGTAGTTTAAAACCATTAACCCTTGTCCTATCTTAAGAAGACATACTTAGAAGTCTGTTCCCAGCTTTCTCATAGGCCTCCCCCTTTAAGTATTGAAAAGCCACAACAAGGTCTCTACAGAGCTTTCTCTTCTCCAGACTGACCAATCCCAACTCTCTCAGCCTCTTCTCACAGGAGAGTTACTCCATACATCTTGTCATCTTCGTGGCCCTCCTCTGGACCTGCTGAAACAGGTCCATATCTTTCCTGTACTGAGGACTCCAGAGCTGAATGCAGTACTCCAGGCAGGGTCTCACCAGAGTGGAGTAGAGGGGGAGAATCGCCTCCCTTGACCTGCTGGTCACACTTCTGGTGCAGCCCATGATACGGCTGGCTTCCTGGGCTGTGAGCGCACACTACCGGCTCATGTCCTTCTTTTCATCCACCAGTACCCCCCACATCCTTCTCTATAGGGCTGCTCTCAATTCCTTCATCCCCCAGCTTGTATTGATCCAGGGGTTGCCCCAACCCAGGTGCAAGACTTGGCCTTGTTGTACCTCATGAGGTACACATGGACCTACATCTTGAGCTTGTCCAGGTCTTTGTGGGTGGCATCCTATACTTCAGGTATGTCAACTGCACCACTCAGTTTGGCAGACACTCATTGGCAAACTTTCTGAGGGTGCACTCAATCCACTGTCTTATGTCATCCATGAACTTATTGAACAGTACTGGTATAACACAGGCCTTGAAGGAATACCACTTGTCACCAATCTCCATCTGGATGTTGAGCCAATGACTGCTACCCTATGGATGCAACCATGCAGCCAATTCCTCATCCACCAAACAGTCCTATCCATCAAATCCATATCTTTCCAATTTAAAGCGAAGGATGTTATGGTGGACCATATCCAGGGATTTACGGAAGTCCAGATAGATGACTTCCATAAGTCTTCCTTTGTCCACTGATGTAGTCATGCCATCATGGAAGGCCACTAGGTTAGCCAGGCAGGACACGCCCTTGGTAACACCATGCTGGTTGTCTCAGATCACATCCCTTTCCTCCATGTGCCTTAGCTTCTATGAGGATCTTCCCAGGTGTAGAGGTGAGGCTGATAGGTTCCCCAGATCTTCTTTTTTATCATTTTTAAAAATGGGTGCAATATTCCCGCTTTTTTAGTTATTGACTGGGGACTTCACCTGAGTGCCATGACTTTTCAGATATCGTGGTGAGCAGCTTGGCAACTACATCAGCCAGTTCTCTCAGGTCTCTGGGATGCATTCCATCAGGTACTGTAGACGTATGCATGTTCAAGTTCCTCAGGTGGTCACAAACCTGATCTTCACTTACAGTGAGAGGGACTTTGCTCCCCCAGTCCCTGTCTTGTGGTCCGTCCGCTCATGAGGTGCGGGAAGAGAGGTTGCCAGTGAAGACTGAGGCAAAAAATGTGGTTGAATACCTCAGCCTTCTTGTACATTGTTACCAGTTTGCCAGTCATGTTCACTGAGGGCAAGGCATGCTTTCTTCGACCTTCATTTTCTGGCCAACGTACTTATCGAAGCCCTTCTTACAACTTTTTGTGTCCCTTGCAAAGTCTAGCTCCAGACATGTTTTGGCCTTCCTAACACCATCCAGTTAGACAGAACTGTGAATCTCAATAATCCTAGCAACTTGACTTCAGACATGGGTTCCTATTTTGTGTAATTTAATTAGTTGTAGTCTATTATGTAAATTAGTATTTGAGCATATGCTTGAAGATGGTTTTTTTTTTACTAGATCTGCAGGTGGCTTGAACTGGATTCATCAGTTAGAAGTGACTTAGGGATGTGTGTGGAACTCTCTTTTAGAGGATTTTAATTTGACATGTCCATTTGAATAAAATTGTCATTATGTTGTTTACAGATTTGATGGACCTCGAGGAAGAGGATATGACAAATTCGAAGGCTCAAGACAGAGAGGGCCTCGTTTTGACTCCCAGCGCTCAGAAGGATATAGATCACGTTTTGACCGGCAGAATACAGATGGACAGTCTTCAAGTAGATGGGGGAATATCCCACGAGGGCCAGCAGCACAATTTTATACTTCGACAAATTCATCACATGGACATGGTTCCCGACCTGGTGGTTCACGATGGATGGGGCCCAGGCCTCATTTGGGACAGCAGCAGCAGTCACAGACAGACTCACAGTCAGAAAACAAAGAACCCTTTACAGATGTAGCTGGCAATCAGCAGACTGTAAGCAGAACACAGACTACTCCTGATGCACAGAATGCAGGTCCCACTGAGCCAAATGAGGACTTGACAAATACTCAACAGGAGCCATCCAAACCTGAAGTCAAAGAAACTGTTTCAGACCCTCCTAAAAAGTGGACATGGAGTTCACATGATCCTAACCAGCAAGCAGAAGAGTCCAAAGCACCTACTCCACCTATTCAGAACCAGAAATCATCATCTCTTTCTAGTAACCCTGTAGCTTTGCAATCGGGTATTGCAAGAACAGGTGGTGCAGTAACCCCTGTAACAGGAAATCAAGATTTGGATTCACCAGATGACCAGCTGATTGCTTCAGATAGCACCCAGGGCCCACCTGGACCGGAAAACAGGGGGAAAGGGCCATTTATGCATGAAGATAGAGGCAAGGGACCAGTAAACAGAGGAAGGGGCCAAGGCAGACTGGATGATGGCCGTGGCAGAGGGCAGGGAGATGGCCGTGGCTGGGGAATGGGCCGTGGACGAGGTGGACGAGGAATGGGAAGGATGGATGGTGGCCGAGGGATGGGAAGGATGGATGGCGGTTGGGGAATGGGCAGGATGGATGATGGCCATGGCCGGGGAATGGGCAGAATGGATGATGGCCGTGGCAGAGGATATGTATACAGAGGCAGAGGGCAAGCTAGGCAGGCATCCATCCGTGGCAGGGGGATGTTCAGGAGAGCAGGCAGCAGGGAGAGGATGCCAGATAGGCGGTCAGGCAGCAGGGAGAGGATGCCAGATGGACGGTCTGGCAGCCGAGAGAGGGGCCGGGGTGGACGGTCAGATAGCCATGAGAGGGTATTCTCTAGCCGAGACAGAGAGCTAGCTGGGCGGCCAGGCAGTCGGGACAGGGGACGGGCAGGTAGCCGGGAGAGAGGCCTGGTCAGACGGGCAGGTAGTCGGGAGAGGGAGCCCATGCGGCGGGCAATTAGCCGG